GCGGGTTTGGTAACATATTTACAGGTCTTGACCCTCCCCCCCCCGCCTGTGACTGGACAGCAACATTGTAACCTTCTAGCAAGTAAGTGAATAGTTCCTTAAAAAAAGCCGTCCTTGAGGTACAGTCAGTGACTTTGTCTAGGCTGAGATGATGTCATCAGTCTGCTGCAGGCAGGAGGAAGCATTTCCTCAGTCTCCCCTCCCCCAGTGATCAGTCTGCTGCAGCCAGGAGGAAGCATTTCCTCAGTCTCCCCTCCCCCAGTGATCAGTCTGTACATTGTCTCCCCTCCCCCCTGGATGTATATAAATGACTTTCTCCTTCTGGTTCTTCTCTTATCTTATGGAGGAAGTTGAGGAGAAGCCGACCACAGACTGCGCTGTCATGGAGGAGATATCGCCATAGTGACCATCGGGTTGCAAAGGGAGGGCGGAGCTACTGAGAAGAGACTTTTATTTATAACCCCGCGCAGTTCTCGGAATGAGGACGCCGCATCCGGAATACTATCGTCCATACGGGTACTGAGCACCAATGAACCGTTGGACATTTCCCCTTTAATTGGCGTCCGCCATCTTTTGTCTCGTCACGCATCGCTCATCCCTACACTGCAACTTTGTATTAAACGTTAGATAGAGCGGGGGAGGAGGGTCAGACCCCCTGTTGGGTTTTTATTGCTGGGACTTCGGTCTGGAGCTCTCATTAGAATTGTATATCAAGGGGCCTATTTATAAACTATCCGCAGGGCCGGCCACCAATCTGCGAATGTTCCATCTGTGCGGAGAGACACCCCGGAACAAATCTTATTTCATTGTTTCTTTGCAAAGAAATGTGTTTTTTTTCCAATTTGTATTGTTTTTCCATGTAATGCCTCATTATGGCCACCAGATGGCACTGAGAGGCATAGAAAATACATACTTATGTCCTGTGCTCCTTTACCTCCGTCTAGTGGCCATAATGTGGTATAATACATACTTATTTCCTGTGCTCCTTTACCTCCATCTAGTGGCCATAATGTGGTATTGCAGGGCCCTCCTGACCATCTTGTCTTGAATTGTATTGTGATTGTAATGTCTTCCTTATATTGTAAAGTGCTGAGCAAACTGTTGGCGCTATATAAATCCTGTATAATAAGAAAAATTATCCTTAAACGTAAATATACTAAGATGGTTCCTTCTTATACTTCCTATAAATACTTATTTCCTGTGCTCCTTTACCTCCATCTAGTGGCCATAATGTGGTATTACATTACTTTCCACCTAAAGAGAAACTATACTAAAACCTTTGTTCTTATACTTCCTAATAAATACTTATTTCCTGCACTCCTTGGCTCCCTCTAGTGGCTATAATGGGGTATAATACATACTTATTTCCTGTGCTCCTTAGCTCCATTTAGTGGCCATAATGCGGTATTACAGGGCCCTCCTGACCATCTTGTCTTGAATTGTATTGTGATTGCAATGTCTTCCTTATATTGTAAAGTGCTGAGCAAACTGTTGGCGCTACATACTTATTCCCTGTGCTCAGCTCCATCTACTGGGCATAATGGGGTATAATACATACGTATTTCCTATGCTCCCCAGCTCCTCCTAGTGGCCATAATGCGGTATAATACATACTTATTTCCTGTGCTCCTCAGCTCCGTCTAGTGGCCATAATGGGGTATAATAAATACTTATTTCCCATGCTCCTGAGCCCCACCTAGTGGCCATAATGTGGTATAACACATACTTATTTCCTGTGCTCTTCAGCTCCACCTAGTGGCCATAATGTGATATTACATGATAAAAATTGAAAATGCATTTAAAAAAAAAGGAATGTTTTGGCATATTGTTGCACAGAGCAAACGTTCGCCAATATTCACTGGGGTGACCGGCCATGGAAATTGTTTATAAACAGACCCCTTTGTGTGTCAATATTCCTCCTATATAATGCTCAGTCACCAATGACACCCTCATACGTGCCATAGATACACGGCAAACCGTGTGGATTCTCAGATGATGGTCTGTGGAGCACATTTATTCAATCTTTATTGGCAAAGCATCTCGAGGACCCTTTCTGCGTGACGACCTCTTTATTTCCAAGTATTATCCTTAGCCGTCAGTCAGCCGGAAGTGTCAAAGATACAAAGTAACAAGAAACGTTTACTGAATAGTGCCACCAGCATGTCTGAGGACCACAAGATCTCAGATGAATACTCGCCCAGAGGATAAAATTCAAAATATTAACAGTCACCTATAAAGCCATCCACAACTCCGCCCCCGGATATATCTCAGACCTGGTCTCAAAGTATCACCCACACCGTCCCCTCCGCTCATCCATTGACCTCCTGCTTTCCAGCTCCCTTGTCCACTCCTCCCATACTCGCCTCCAGGACTTCTCTAGAGTTTCTTCCATCCTCTGGAACTCTTTACCCCAACCTGTCCGTCTATCTCCCACCTTGACTGCCTTTAGGCGTTCCCTAAAGACTCATCTCTTCAGGGAAGCCTATCCCACCTCAACCTAACCGCTCAACCATCACATTCTCACATAATTAATTTCCACACAGCTACCTCCTCATGTATCACTTCCCCCTCCTCTTTCTGATTGTAAGCCCTCAGGGGCAGGGCACTCCTTACCATCCTGTCTTGAATTGTATTGTGATTGTAATGTCTTCTTGGTTTGGTTGTCACCAGGGACAGGAAGTGAGGAGAAATCTCTCCGATAGAAGTAAAACCCAACAGGGGGTCCTCGTCCTTCCACGCTCGATCCAAAAACTAAAAGTAGCTTAAAGGTAACGTCCAACAAAAATGGTATCTTTAGTGTTTGGATTGAGCGGGGGAAGGACGAGCGGTTGGTGTACAACACATACATAGACAATGTATGCTTCTTTTCCCTTTACCTTTGCCCCACAGAAGACACGGCGCCCTCCTTATAGTTCCAAAGCCGTTCCACGGCGGCGATGTAGAAGGTCCTGGTGATGGCATCACCAGAGTGAAGGAACAGCAACAGCGGGAGGAGAACCAGGGGCCCCATGGAAGATCCGCGCCGTTCTGGAGACCTCGTTACGTTCTCTTAATTTGCTGATAACATTCTTGAAAAGGAAGGAAATCCCACATCAGGAAGCCGAGGGTGTGGTGTTCGCTCGGCTGCAACTTTGATGCCTACTGCTAATAAGGAGAATTGGCACTCGAACACAACAAAAAAAACAGTGACGCAGCAATGGAAGTGCGAGGAGCCGAGTGAATAATCATTAGGGGATGGAGGAACCTGTGGTGACAGATCCCTGCAATGGGTTCCAACTCGCTTCCAGATTTACAGAGAACGCTCATAGCTTGCATCAAATCCGTACAAGTGGAATGAATACAGTCCTGATAGGTCACATTATATACACTATATTGCCAAAAGTATCTAGAAGTATCCCCCTCCAAATCATTGGATTCAGGTGTTCCAATCCCCTCCATGGCCACAGGCGTATAGGATGTTAAAAAATCAAGCGAGTTGAAACGGTCTCTATTAAAAGGAAGTGTCATCACCTAAGTAATAAATATAATATATATTAGTAATCAAAGTGATTCAGTCGCCATTACAGATCAGGTTTATTGGCAACATTTACAGACTTTCCATTGAACAGATCAAACAAAAGCAATTGAATTCGGTCACAACAACGAATGTTTCGATTGGTTTCCCCAAATTCAACTGAAAATGTAACTTTTAATGACTTCTGCCCTCTCGGAATGATTCAGCGCCTTCATAATAAGCATCTCGAGTACTTAGTAGAGTTCCCTGGTGCTGTCATGGCTGCAGACACATCACATAGCGAGTCACCAGATTCTGGGAGCATTCCTGAGGAATCTCAGCCCATTCGTGAGCAACGTGGCCCGCACCTGGGTGACACCATTGGAGGGGTGACACCAAAATGACCAAACGGCCGACAGTATCAGGAGAGGACCTGGCAGCATACCTTATCCCGCCGGGTGACTGTCCCCTGCTCTCTCTGCCGGCGTCCATCACCAAGTTGGCCGTCAGGTATCAGAAGAGTGCCGCGCGTGTGCGATGACATCATCGCGCACGTACATGGGGTGACGTCACGCGCATGCGCTGTGGCGAGTCTGCGGGGTGACACCCGGTAACCGCTCCGGGTGTCACCCAGCCTCGGGACGCCCCTGCCTGATACTTCAATGAATCCATCTTGCCTTCCATACTCTGAAGGTTTCCAGTGCCAAAGCAGCCCGAGAGCATCACCACCGAGCTTCCATCGTACTCAACCATAGACATGGAGTGTTCTGCTCAGCGTAGGCTTCCTTCTTCTTCCTCCAGACATACCGCTGACCCATAGGGGTGGAAAGTTCCGGTTTTGTTTCATCGCTCCACAGAAGAGAATCCCAAAACTTCTGCCACTCACTTATATGATTTGGAGAATATTGGAGGTGACTTTTGGGTCAGTGGTGGTGACGTCTTGGAGTTGCAGCATGCAAAGCTTCTGCTCCTTACTGTGCTCGCTGAAACCTCAGAGCCTGTGGCCACCAAGTCTTGCTGCAAGTCTCCAGAGGTTTTCTCAACTTCCCTTCTGGTTCCAGCCATTGATAACTTCCTTTTTCTGCCGCGTCCTGGTAATGTAACCACTCTTCCTTTAACTTTGAACTCTGCTTCCAGCCGGTTCTCTAAGTCAGATATAAGACTGAAGGGGAGGACGGAGGTCAGATAGAAGACTGAAGGGGAGGACGGAGGTCAGATAGAAGACTGAAGGGGAGGACGGAGGTCAGATAGAATACTGAAGGGGAGGACGGAGGTCAGATAGAATACTGAAGGGGAGGACGGAGGTCAGATTTAGGCTTCTCATAGACTTAGGGGTTCATATATAAACCTAAAGCTGGGTGAATGCCACACTGCTCTGCCCCCACTAGATGGCGCCGGGAAGCACAGGAATTTCCATAGACAATATAGAAGAATAATCAAATTTCGGGGTTTTTGTTTCATAACCAACTTTAATAACAGATGAATTATAATTTATTTCCTCCATTGGGAAGATTCCAGAACAGAGATCGGACTCCAATGATCACATACAGAACAGCTTTGTTTTTATCGTGCCGGGTTGTCGTTTTTCAAGCACAGCACCAGAAAACTCTCGTATTACAGCGTCTTTATGATCCACACAGGTCACTGTGTAGCTGGGCCGGCGCGGCCGTGCACCAGTTGTCACATGTCCCCCTGTGGTGATCGACGACTCGATGAGTCTCCGCCCCCCCCCAAACCGTTTATTCCTCGTGGATGTTGAAGAGCTTGGCTACCTCGTTCAGGTCCGCGTGTGCCTCTCCGTCTTTTATGATCTGCCAAGTAGATGAAGACAAAAAGATTCCAGGATTAAAAAGGAGAACTCTGGGGTCCCGGCTCCGCCCCCCATGCAGAATTAAAATGCTTTATTTCTAACGTTTTAATTATTTAGTGCTTTTATGTTGTCTGCTGCCATTGGCTCCATATGTATAGACATGGGCACAGCAGGGGCAGGGATCTGAGTTTCCATCACATCCATTGCATTCACAATGGGGAAATAGCAACTACATTTCCCATAATTCAATGGGAATGCACAGGCATGGGGGGGCGGAGCTCTGGGCCGGAAAAAGAACAGGGCAGGGCCAGGGAGAGCGGTTATTAGCATAGCTGCCAATCATTGGCTGTGGTTGGGTCACAATCTGGTGCTGTGGAATCGTCCGTGCCCACTCTGCACACAACCAGCAGTCATTCCTCCATAGGGACAAATCAGCGGGAACCAGTTGCATGGCCTGGAAGATGCAAGAAAGGGGGAACGGGGACCTATGTGGGGGCGGTAAAAAAAAGGAGGTTCAAGGAAAGCAGATTACTCGCTTGATTGTTTGTATTGGATTGGCTGTAGTTGCTTGCTCATGCAGGACAGAGCGACAGGTTCTCTTGCAAAGGGTCCCCCCTGTCCCGCCTCTTTTATGCTACCTTACCTGGTGCATTCCTTCTGTCACGGCCAGCGGCACTACCTTGTGCCTCCAGGTATGGTGACCTGCTCCCCTGTGACAGCGCTGGGGCTTTGTTAATCAAGTACTATCACATGACTGAAATAGTGACATTCCACAGCACCATCCCGACCACCACATTGTCTCTTAGATAAAACACGACTCCCTTGCCATACGATTCCCCCTGCTGTGCCGGGGCGGGGGCGGAAGGAGCAGATTCTGGTGTTGGACTCTTGGACTGTGTTATCTCCTCGGCATCGTGCTCGGATCGGATCCCGGTACCTGCAGTTTACACACAACACAAGAGAAAGGCTAGAAGTGCAAAAACGAGTGCGGCCAAATCACGGACGTGATGATTACGAAATTGAACCCCCGCCCCCCATGTATCCCGGGCTCATGTGGCCGTGGTGGGTGTTGGCAGCTACAGAGCATACGCTTGCTAATCTCCCTTCCATTCAATGAACCCGGAACGGAAGCGACAAGCACTTCATCACTTCCAGCTTCAGAACCGTCAGCCCCCCAGCAGCTGTGGATGAAGCTAATAAAGCAAGATCTGTGCATATGATTAGCTCCCGGGGTTTTCAGATCACGAGAGGCAGACACCATTGGAGGGAAGAAACCATCTGTAGGAGCTGGGGGGGTCCTGTTTAGAGTAATACAACGGGGGGGCTATGGAAGAGCTGGGGGGGGTTAATTATTGAACTTGTACTTTAACTCTATTGCATTACAGCATCTTAACGTCAAACACTCCCACGCTTTCTTCAGATGCCAGGACCAGGCTACACGCCCCTGCATGCCAACTGCCCATAGGCCTGAATAGGACGCATCCATACGGCACAAGGAACATCCCGTTTAAGCCTATAGGATGTTGGTGCACAGGCAGCCGGACCCTAGAATTCCACCAGCCGGACCA